GGGAAAGAGCCAGATCACCATTTCATTTCAGGCAAATATGCTTTCCTTGAAATATAAAGATGTAAAAATCTAATTGAAGACAAAGAACCCATCATTCTTCTATATCCTAGCTGAAAAAAAACCCAGAGTTCAGGAAAACGTGTGGAAGAACATGCCAGTGCTGTTAATGGTGCCATACCTAGACTCCTGGCAGTCCCAGGCAAACTTTTAGTATCAGGCCCCACTTCGCCAGAGATAATGATTTTTTTGTTGCAAGTCTTTATCAAATCTGTGGTATCAATGTCTTTAAATAGTTCACTCTCAATTGATAACATTGCCAGTCCTTTATATTCCTAATATTAAAACTTTTTTTTGCAATTGGAATTTTTTTTTTTTCATTTTCGGGGTCCCTTTCTGTCTGGGCCCTGGGCAGCCACCTGGTTCACCCATGCCTGTGTCCGGGTCTGGTTCCTAAGGAGCAAAGGCTACTCATAGCAGTTCTAAGAAGGGAAAGTCTAGTAACTAAATAACAGCTTTGAGTGGTGGCTGTTCTTCCCTACCACATCCAAAAAGGACTGCCCCCTTGGAAAACATGCCAAGGAAAGTTATGTGATAATTTTGCCCCACCCACAAAATGAGGAATAAGGTGTTTATCTCAAGACCTTAAATACCCAAGGGGCATGGATGAGTCTCTACCAAAATCTCTAGCATATTGTATTGTGAAAGGAGAAGCTTGTCCATTTCTAAAGAATTCCTGTACTTCCCTTTTGTGATGCTTTGGGCTCAAAGGAATTCTAGGACTTTATTTTCTGTGCTTTTATAAATATAAATTGAGAGATTGAAATATAAAACAAGAAAGTCTCAATGAGCATTTAGAAGCATGGGGCTGGGGTAATGATTTTCAACCAAGGTGCAACACCCTAGGGTCCTTGAGATCCTTTCAAGGGTTCTGTGGGATGCCACACAATGTTAGCACTGTTAGGTTCTAAGAGTGATAAATTCACAAGATAAACTCAGAGATTTCAAATAGGAATCCACAGTATTAAAGATATTCTGGTCTGATGTAGTCTTTCTTATTCTTTGCAGTAGAAGAATTGCTCTATTATTTTTCTCCAGTCAAAAAACAAGTGAAAACTAAGAGCTGTCATTTTCCAGTCTAACAAGGGTTCCTCAAGTCTAAAAAGTTTGAGAACCACTGGGTTGGGGAGTCAGGACTTTTGGGTTCTATGCCAGGTTGAAGTAATGGATAGCTCGCTTTCCTATTCTGATGTACTTTAGCCACTTCCTGCAGAATTCATTGCTTCTGGACAGTTTAGATGTCTCATGGGAATACTCCCTGATTCATTTTACATACTTCAGAGTTGACCTGTACTGAGAATGAAAATCCAGTAGTCAGTCACAGTCTCTCCTCTCATTTGTGCTGCTCTTCCTGGAACACTGTTCCTCCTTTCTGAAGAGCAAATGACTGTAAAGGGCTGTTCTTGATAGTCACTCCCTGCTTCTATCTGGTAACTGCCATGTAGAAGTTAATCAAAAGCTGAAGAGCCTGTCAGCTCAGAATGGATGTACCGAGTCCAGCTGCTTCTGCAGTCCTGTAGATATTAGGGATATGCCTGATTTGCAAGTTTAATTTCAATCTTTACTGAAGCTCAGTACATGTGGATCCAGGGTTTTGGTTTAGACTCACCTATATAGTAATGCAAGCTCAGAAATAGCACCTTGATCCAGACACATCATGTTCAGTTTCTTTGGCATCTGTATCCACTAGTTTGTATGTTTTAAAGAATTTATTTGGAAAAATCTTATCAGTCAGTGAGTCTAAGACTGACATTGAAATGGGGAAGTACGCAGAAACTGCTAGGTGTGGAAGACGGAAATAAGCTGACAGCAAGTGAGTCAGTGCACTGACTTCTCCCACTGAGTGTATGAGATAGGAGAGGAAATCAGGGATTTCAGATCCTATGGAATGACATGTCTGATGAGTAATTAATGAACATCAATTGGGATGGGTACAATGGACCGTGATCAAGTAAAGTTAGAATCATAGAAATTCAACTAATAATCCAAATAACAGTCCACATTTGGATCCAGTGAAGTCCAAGACTCTAAACTGAATAATTTACAGGAGACTGAACTGTGGGAAATCATCACATTCAAAGAATGAGGAGCAAGAGATGTGATGTTTAACTCAGATTACAAATTCTGTATAAACTTGTATTGTGCACTGTCTTACATGGTATGATGCAATTTAATTGGATACATGAGCATCCTAACTCCTAAATTACATATTTCTATAACACAAAGAGCTCCCTATGGGTTACAGCCCATATAGTGCCTAAGGTTTGTTTGCATTTATCTGTTATATCACACTGCAACCAGATGATTATAAACATCTCTACACAGCATAAAACACTTCTATGGCACTTTCTATCTGTTAGTATTGAACTCCAATACAAAGCTGGTAGGGGTAATTATCTTCATTTAGTAAACGGGAACTGAGGCACAGAGAGGTTTAATGAAGTCATACAGAATTTCAGAGGCAACATTGGAAATGTATCTCAGTTCTATACTTCCACCATACTGTACTACCTCTGTCTGAAGTCAAAAGACTTTCAAAGCAGCAACTCAGAACTTAGAACATTAACAGAATGTGAATACTACTCAATTTTCTCTGTTTCTTTGCTTTATTTACTGGGGGAAAATGGACAATGGGTCTAAAACTAGTTAGTTCTGGATTTTAATCTGAATAAGCACAGGATTTATTGCCACCAAAAACAGAAAGTGGAATCGCACCATTGTGGCTGCTCTTGCAGCTGTGCTGTTGTTTTGAGGCAGAGAAAGGAGAAAACATGTTCCGTAAAAGAAAGGTCACTCTCCATTAATAAGTGAAAATAAGAACAAAGGGAAAGTGAAAATAACCTCCAGGCTGCTTGGCAACAATGCATCTCTGAGCAAGCTACCATCCTTGAGAGGACAGCAGGAGAAGGGAAGAGGGAAGCCAGCAGCATAGGGTCCAAGGGTCCTAGAAGGGAAAGAAATGAGCCATTTCAATTAGAGGTGGTGCAAGCTCCAATTCCAAACACTCTCCCAATGCAGAGAGTGTCTGAATATGCATGCAGAGGTTTGTGCCTGTCTGGGAAGATGATGCTTAATGAGTGATGCACACACATCCCACAAGGCACCTCCTAACTTGTCAACTAGCTCTACATTTTTTAGCTGGAGAGAGCTGTTCTCCTTCTCTTATATGCAGTGGTCTAAATCCAGTGTCTCTGGCATAGAAGCGGTGTTACTGAGAGGAAGTGTAGGCCCAAAACATCACCAGAGAATGTATCTTTCAATACTAGTGTAAAACCTATCCCCAAGCCCAAATAAACACATCAGACACTTGCCTCCCTGTGTAATGGACACAAAACCATTCTTTCCATCTGATTTTCCACACCTCCTGATGACATTCACAAACAATAATTTGGAAACTTTGAGTGCCTGTACACAAAAGCTGGGAGGCTGCTCTGATGCACTGTAATTACAGTGCATTGAAGCAGACTTAATTAATTGAGTGTGCTGGAGCATGGTTCCTTAAGGACACAATCCTCGGTGCACAGAGGTTGCCCATACCTGTAGGCAAAAAAGGTGGCACAGGGGCTGGGAGGCCATCTTGGCTCAATAGGGAAGTCCCAGATCTTCTGAAAAAGAAAAGGGAGGCTTACCAATGATAGAAGCTAGGAATAGGCCCCAAGGAGAGCTACATAAGATTGGCCCACACCTGTAGGAAGCAGATTAGAAAAGCAAAGGCAGTGACCGAATTCAGGTTAGCAACCAAAATCAAGGACAATAAGAAGTCCTTTTATAGGTACGTAGGTAACAGGAGGAAAACCAGTGGAAACACGGGACCACTGCTCAATGCATCTGGACATCTGATCATTGACACCAAGGAGGAAACTGAACTCGTAAATGAGTACTTTGCATCTGTATTCCACCAGTCTAAGAGTGATAGCCTGCGAAATGCAAATTATGACACAGAATAGTCACAGTAGGGATGATCACCTACCAACAGTCAATGCAGAGCTGGTGGAAGAACAGTTAGAGAGGCTGGTTATCTATAAGTCAGCAGGACTGCATGAACTCCATCCAAGAGTGCTGAAGGAACTAGCCAAAGTCATCACAAGACCGCTGGCAAACCTCTTTGAGAATTCATGGCGCTCAGGAGAGATCCCAGAAGACTGGAAGAGGGCCAATGTTGTGTCCATCTTCAAGAAGGGGAGGAGAGAGGACCCAGGGAATTACAATCTGATCAGCCTGACCTCAATCCCAGGAAAAATCCTCAAAACATTTTTCAAGGAGTTCATATGCGATAATAGAAGGCAAAATTCTGAATGACAGCCACCACAGTTTTGTCACAAGTAGGTCATGTCTGACTAACCTCATCTCCTTCTACAA